AAGACACATACAGAATGTGTTGAGACGGGAATTTCACTGCGAAACGATAGCCTCGCGCGTTTTTCTCTTCAAATTCGTTCAAAAACCATGTATCTTTAATGGCAAATCTCACTCTTTTGATTCGTTCTCGCGTTTTTTTGGAACAAAATGATAAAGAGACAAGAGGAATTGGATCCAATTGTTTAACTATATTCTCGAAAACTAGGACAGGGTATTTGAATAGTTTCATCCTGATTTAAATGGTTGAATTGTGCGCACAGTCAATTGATCAACATACAGTGAGGGGCCGTCTTCAAACAGAGGTCACTCCCACCTGATTGCCATCTTCAGTAGAGCACGTTTTCCCTTATGGCCCTCTAATTACATTTGGGCCGTCAGTCGAGTGGGGAAGAGAGAGTGGTGGACCTAACGGCCTCTCACTGTATATCTTTCTGGTTCTACGACCCGACTACCTATCAAGATATATACGAACAAATTATCACACGCTTCAAACAATGTGCTCCTATCGAAAATGTGCGTTTTTGATGATTTATTTCTTTTATTCGAAGAATCCGTCCAAGACATTCTATCAGAAAATAACGTCATATAAATGAAGCCATTTGAAAAGCGTAAGGGGAAAGTAAAGGAAAGGAAGGTACAAGTAGACAATTAGGGAGGGACAAGTAGACAATAAAGGAAGGTACAAGTAGACGATAAGCTCCGCCCTCTTGGTACTTTAGTGCAGACAGCGCAGATTCGCGTTGAAACAAAAAAGGGGCGGAGCTTGAAAAATACACCGTGCGGGATAAAATTGGAAACAAAATAACGAAATTAATACAAAAAAAACGAGATTGGATCAACTAACACGACAATTATTGAAAACTGATGTTGCAACAGATGCGACAATCAAAAAAGTCATAAAGGAATATGTTATATCAGCTGCAATCGATAGAGATCTTATCATGGAAATCTATTGTGCCAAACGAAAAAGGTGAAAGCACAATCATCATCATCGAATTGCATCGTCGCCATCAAACCATCATTTCGTATCATATCGTGACCGTCTGAACGGTCTATTATTGGAAATCCACCCTTTTCATCACGACTATATCTGAAAAAAATAAGGAATTTTGATTCACAAACACCGGAACAAAACTTACGATGCCTTGAAAATGAAGTTCTGTGCTCTTTCAGCTGGATTCCATTGTTCGGTGTTGAACTCATTTAAGACTTTCTCTGTTTCGTATTGCAATCTCGTCGGACAAATAATAACGGCTCCCTCCAAATTTGGATAGTTCCCATCCATCCAATGTTTCACGAATGTAACAATGTCCTCCTCCGAGAGCGATGAAAATTTCAACAAGATATATTTTCCATTAAAGTTCAGTAAATGTTCAATTGATATGAATCTAGATGGATTAAGTGACAAGTTTTCGGATTGTAACAGTTTACTTGTCGGTTTGAAGGATGTTATGTATGATTTAGTAATTGTTTGTAGGACAGGCTTTTGGAAACAGTCGTATAATTCGATCACTTTTTTCGCAGGAGTGCTTTTTCCTAACAACATGATTCTTTGAACATTCTTGAAACACGGCTCGGATCTGAAGTGTCTGATGTCGAACAATCTGTTCAAATTGATCCAAATTAATGTGACTTCAGTTCTGACCAGACTTAAAATGTAGTTGAAGAATATGGAAGCTTGTTTGTATCTAGTCGAACCCAAATAAATATCGTCTCTGTTAGGTTCCTCTTTATCTTTTAGACATCTGAAAACATGAAATTCAAATCATCTGACTTCTGGTAACTTACCCAATGTTATAAGCGGTGTCTCCAATTCGAACCTTGAAGTTGTTCATATGTTTCCTAGCATTTTTTGGCAACTGTCGGAAACTGACAAAAAGGACATGTTGTGGGAACTGCACTGTTAAAGAATAGCCTCTCTCCCTTCCAAATTCATTTGTGAACAGTGTATATTCGATGGCAAATGACACTCTTTTGATTCTTTCTCGCGTTTTTCTTGAACAAAATGATAGAGAAACAAGGGAGGCTGGTTCCAATTGTTCAATTATATTATCGAAAACTAGGACAGGGTATCGGAATAGTTTCATGTCGTTTGAAATGATTGAAAGTAGTAAAAAAGAAGAAGAAGAAGAGGTCGAACGATCAATATACAGTGAGCGGACCATACGCACAAACCCGCCGCGTTGAGGTCAAGAGTAGGGGATTGCGTAAAGAAGTCTGAAGAGAAAAGGAAAACCAGACCATTATGAGCATTTATTTCTGACTGTATGTAGTTTTGGTTCTACTGTAGTTGAATGGACCCAAGGCATTTTTTGAAATTGAATGGATCCAAGAGAGAGGTCAATAAATTGGATGGACCCAACAGAGGGGTCGAAAAGTTGGATGGACCCAACAGAGGTGTAATAAAATTGAATGGACCCAAGACGGGCACCTGAAAATTGGGTGGACCCAAAAATTCGAATGAACGGCAATGACTCATTGAGGACCCGTTTTTTAGTGATTTTTTGTTTTGAAAACTCGATGAAGTCTAAGACATTACGCTTGAGAAAAGAAATGAAAACATTTTTTGAAAAAAGAGCAGATTCTCAATATGTAATTCTAATTAATGTTCATTTTGGGTCCACCCAACTTTTAGGTGCCCGTCTTGGGTCCATTCAATTTTTTGACCTTTCTCTTGGGTCCACCCAACTTCTCGACACCTCTCTTAGGTCCATCTAACTTTTCGACCCCTCTGTTGGGTCCATCCAATTTTAAAAAATGGTTTGGGTCCATTCAACTACAGTAGAACCGTAGTTTTTTTTTGACTAACAGAGTGAATGCAGAAAACATTAATGAACCTATTGTGGTAACAAAGGCGGAATTCAAAAAAGTTATGGCACTTTCTGTGAGAAACTCGAGGAAGAGTCACATGGCTTATGTACAGAAGTTTCAAACTGGTCCAAGTGTTCTTGGAAACCGGCTCGGATATGCACAGAACTTTCCGTGCATTTCTTGGTGAGCGTGTTGCAGCGCTTTCATCAATTAACATAATAAATCTATTAAAAATTCTTCGGTATTTTATTCACGGAAATAGGAAAAATGTTACAGGAGTCAAACAAGAACCAGCGATGCTAGTTTTCAAAACGGCATAGCTAACCGCTCAGCCGCTAAAGAAAGGAAGGTATTGTAGGAAGAGGGCGTTGACAAAGGCAACATGCAGAACACTTCAAGCAGAAAAGATCTCATTCTGGAAACCTATTGTGCCAAACAAAAAAATTAAAAACAGATTCGCTTTCTCCGAACAGAATCGTCGCCAGTAATCCATCATCTTTTTCAATATCATATCCATTCGAACAGTCTATTTTTGGAAACCCATCCTTCTCATAACGATAAAACCTGAAAAAATAGAAGGTTTGATTTAAAAACACCTGAATGAAACTTACGATGCCTTGAAAATAAAGTTCTGTGCTCTTTCAGCTGGATTCCATCGTTTCGTGTTGAACTCATTCAATACTTTCTCTGTTTCATATCCCAATTCTATCGGACAAGTTATAACGGCTCCCTCCAAATTTGGATAATTCCCATCCAACCAATGTTTTATGAATGCAACAAAGCCGTCCTCCAGGATCGATGAAAAATTTAAGTAGATATATTTTCCATTAAAGTTCAGAAGATGTTCAATTGATATGAATTTGGATGAATTAAGTGACAAGTTTTCGGATTGCAGCAGTTTACTCGTCGGTCTGAGTGCTCTTATTTTTGATTCAACGTATGTTTCCAGGACTGGCTTTTTGAGACAATCGTATAACTCCGTCACTTTTTTCACAGGAACACTTTTTCCTTCCAAATAAATGTATTGAACATTTTGGAAACACGGCTTGGATATGAATTTTTCGACATCGTCCAATCTTTTCAAATCGAGTGTAACATAAGTGATTACAGTTCTGACTAGATCCAAAAAGTAATTGAAGAATATGGAAACTTTTCTGTATTCAATAGTACTCAGATAGATTGAATTTCCTTCTTTCAGGTATCTGAAATTATGGAGTTTTAATGAATTGACAAAATTGAATTTGGTAACTTACCGACAGATATAAGGGGTGTCTCCAATATGAACACTGAAGTTTTTGGATTCTTTTTTATTTTTTCTGCTAAGAAATCCAGAATCAACCAACATCGAGTTTGATGTTTTAGGAAAAATCACTTCCAAGAAAAAGCCTTGTTCTCCTTGAACAACATTCCCAAACCATGCATCCTTGATGCCAAATGACACTCTTTTGATTCGTTCTCTTGTTTTTTTCGAACAAAACGATAAAGAAACAAGGGGAATAGGATCCAACTGTTGAATTAAATTATCAAAAACTAGAACAGGGTATTTGAATAGTTTCATTGTGTTTTAAATGGTTGAACAGTGCGCACAGTCAATTGATCAACATACAGTGAGGGGCCGTCTTCAAACAGAGGTCACTATCCTCAATAGAGCGTGTTTTCCCCTAATGGTCCGCACTTTTGTTTTGTCAATATATAGCAGGAATTTACATTTTTCACAAAATGAGTACTTTTGAGCCAGTTTTCAGTTTCAAAATTTCAGATTTTCGTTATTCACTTCGGACTTCCGTTTTGAATATTTTCACTTCCGCAAAAAAAAGTGAATCCCAGCAACAAGTAATTTTCACTGCAAACTCTGAGACAACAAAAAAATGATGGTCATAGAATTCTATTCAAATTCCCTAATAGTTGCACGGAACTGTATATGTATGGGTAAAATTTGAGGCTTCTGGAACTATGAATCGGAAAAACTAAGCTATATATCAAAAAATCGCAATATTGAACTTTACTTTTGTTTCCGTTGTTTCATAGTCAGAAAGAGGCTGCAAACTCGATTTGAAAATGTATTTATTATTTTAAAAGAACAGATGGGAAACAAAGAAATGAATATAATTTTAAGATGTAAATCTATTGTGCCAAACACAGTTTTACAGGAGTCAAACAAGAAAACAAGGAAAAATAAAAAAAAGAATTGGCCCGAGCGGGGTTTGAACCCGCGATGCTTGTTTTCAAAACGGCAGCGCTAACCGCTAGGCTGCGAGAGCAAGAAAAGAAAAGTAGGAAGAGGGCGTTGACAAAGGCAGCATGCAGAACAGTTTAGTCGAAAGGGATCTCATCATGGAAACCTATTGTGCCAAACAACGAATCTAAAACCATATGTGGGTTCCATGAAGAAAAACGTCGCCAGTAAGCCATCATTTCGTTCCAGATCATGCCCATTTGCACAGTCTATTACTGAGTATTCTTCCTTCAATCCACAACAGAATCTGAAAAAGATAAGAATTTTGATTCGCGAGCACCTGACCAAAACTTACGTTGCGTCGAAAATAAAGTTCTGTGCTCTTTCAGCTGGATTCCATCGTTTCGTGTTAAGAGGCACTTTCTGTAAGAAGAGACTTCCCATTGGCACAGTTGCAAAAAGTTGTTCGGATCCGTATGATTTTTGGATCATATATGCACCCATATGAGTGATTTATGATAAACATGTTACTAGACCCCTATGACGTCATCGTCGGAAAATATAGCTGAAAACATGATTTTCAGCTCAAAAATTCAAAAAATTTTCATTTTTGAGATATTGTTTCCAAACCTTGGTGGGTTGATATTTGACCCTTGGGGCATCTCCAATAAATTTTTGAGCCATCTACGAACTCGGGAAGTGGCTTAAATAATTTTGAAATATGGGTTTTTTCACTTTTTCTCGAAAATTTTGAATATAGGGAGTAAAATTTTATTTGATTTTTGGATTCCCCATTGAATTTGCTGCAAAAAAATCTCTTGGACCATACCCGACACCCGCCCCATCTTGA